TGACCCCGCGGCCCGTTCGCGGCGGGACCCTCCCCCCCACCCCGGCTGGGGGCTCGGGCCTTGGGTTGACGGCCCCGCCTCTCTGAGCCGCCCACCCGCCAGCTCGCTGGAAGGACGGCGAGCCCGGGGCGCGGCTGGCCTGCCCTCACCTCGCAACCTCCAGGGCCGGGAGCCGCTTGCACGTCTGCCGGGCTCGTGGCCGGACTGAGGGGCCACTGTCTGTCCCTCGGACACTAGCTGTGTTGTGGGTGAGACAAGCGCCAGGAAGGTCCGGGAGGGAGAAGACCAGGTGCCCCCAGAGAAAGGCAGCACTCAGCAGACGCCCAGGGAGTGGGGACTCGAATGGGGGGCACAGCCCCAGCTGGCTCAACCTGATGCAGGTGGACAGTCCAGCGAGCTGGGCATGGCACTTTCCCACAAGACAGGGGTGTTGAAGCTGTCCTGAGTGACCTTCAGCTCGTGACCTTCTGTTCCTTTCTTCCCTAGTGGAGGCTGGAACCGGCCCCAAACCAGCACCCCTGGTGCACAGCTCCTGCCCTGGGGAGCCAGTCTGTGCAGGCCTCCGGTCGCCCCCGAGACAGGGGCACATGTCGGGAGGCAGCGACCTCCCCAGGAAGGGCTTGAGGTTCAGGGTGTTTGAAAACCTGATTGCTCCCGCCGCAGACACGTGAGCCCTCTGCCTGGTCCCTACTGGCCAGTGCCCTGGGGGCTTGTCCGTCCTTGTGATCACAGCCCCTGCTGTCCCGCCCACTCTTCCTTTCACTCGCTGGCCCCCACCATCGGAAGCCCCCACCAGGAGCGTCTCTATTTGTTCCCACGTAAGAAGACAGGCCAAGAAGAGTGTTACCTTAAAACAAATGCTTAAAAAACAAAGAAAAAGGACTTATTTGTTTTCCTAGAGATGGTCTCGTTGGCCCACATTTTGGAACCCAGAAAAAGGTAAGATTGCACCTGAAGGAGTCATTTCCTTCCATCTAGATTTGAATTCTGTACAACCAAAGAAGGTGTCTGGAGAACCTAAGACAGCTGAGAAGTGTCTCCAATCAAGGGAGGAATTTCTCTTGCTTTTCTGGCCAAGCGGGAGTTCTGGACAGGGCTCCGAGCATGGCCCCCAGCATGGGCAGTGTCCACTCAGATGCTCCGCTTCCATCTGTGCGTCTGGCTTTGCAGGGCCCAGATGAGGTGACAACACTTTCCCCAGCAAAACAGCCAGGAGTGTGCAGGAGGGTGAAAGTACTGTGGACGGGGGGGGGGGTGGCCCTTCTAGGAAGCAGGGAGGGCCTTGGGCTGGCCTCTGAAGCTGCCTTTGCCCTCATTGGACTTCCAAGCCTCCTCCCCCCAAAATGGAGTTTCCAGAGTAGCCCACCCCACCAAAGATCAGAGCTGCTGTGCCTAGGCAGAGCTGGCAGGGCCCTGCTTTCTCCCTGAGCCCAGTGGGGGTTTGCACCTGCTGGCCTTCCTCCCTCCCACCCCTTCCAGCATCTGCTCTGGCCAGTTGCCCACTCATGCCATGGGCCAGCCCACTGGGCCAGGCTACCATGCCAGTCCGTGGAGGGTCCAGGCCACAGGCACAGCCACATCGGGGAGTGGGGTGGGATGGGCTTGGTGCCTGTCCAGAGGAGCCCCCACATTTGGGCAGGGGTAGGGACCCCCGTGCCAGGCCCTCCTGCTCACTCCCTGGCCCTTGGCACACAGATGGGTTGGGCAGCTGGGCATGGTTGTCCCCTTGTTGGATAAGCATGCATGTGTGGAGCTCCTACCCCTGCAGGCTCTGAGCTGGGCGCCGGGACAGCAGAAGGAGACGAGCCCTGCCCTGTGCGGCTTCCATTCCTGTGTGGGAGACTGATGACGCTAGTGTAGGAGCAATACCATCCCATCCCTGGGGAGGCAAGAGTGGTGGGGAGCTGGCTTTAGGCAGGGAAGGACCCCTGGAGGCTGGCCTTGTAGTTGAGACTCCAACCTCATGAAGCCAGCAGCCTGGAGATGGGATGGACAGCCCTCAGGACCTAGAGATGAGGGTGCCAGCACTCAAAGGGGTACCCCTACTTGTCAGGGAGCTCAGAGGCCCAGCTGGGGAAATGTACTGTGGGCATCAGACCAGCCCCAACACACACAGCTTCCCCACCACAGACCAGCTCTGCTCCACCCTGCCCTGCTGTCCCCCCACTGCCATCCCACCCCTCCTTCATTGGGGATCAGAAAGAAAAGCCTAGTAGCAGCCAGGGATGAACTTCCATTGTCAGGAAAGTGCTGAGTGACTGTTTTAAAACTTCAAATTTGGAAAAAAATTTACACAAGAAACATAAACTTGATGAAACCTAGAAAAGACTTTTGCCTTGTTTTAGGTTCCATGCAAAGCAGACCCTGAGACAGATCTGAGTGCAAGTAATTTATCTGGGAGGCAGTCCCAGGAAGCAGAGGTAGGGTCTGAGGGAGTGAGGGAGGGAAGGGAAGCCAGGCCCTCGGGGGTAAGTTGCAAAGCCTCTCACCTCCCCAAGCGCCTGGAGACAGGCTCAGAGCCATCCCCAGGGGGCAGCCCTGAGCAAGAGGTCAGAGCCCAAGGGGGTGAGGGGACATCCACTGGAGCAGGGAGATGGATTATGTGTGTGTTGTGCGTGGAGGGAGGTTTGACCAAACCAACAAGTGTTTTAGGGCAACAAGAGTCAGCTTTCTCACTGTTAGAGGTGAGAATTTAAAATATGGAAAGGGAGAAATTAACAGTGCGGTGTTGGATTGTAATTAGCAATACCTATGTGATCTCAGAAAAGTTAGGTTTTGTAAACAGAACTACAGATGTAAACGTGTGTGTTGCACAGATGTGTGTACCTAGCTCTGTCACAGAGAGGCCCTGAGAGGAGGGACCCCTAACAGCAGTGAGCACACCAAAAACCCAGATTTTGGCTTCTGAATTCCATTCTTTTCTGAAAGAAACCTTTGGAGAAAAAGCTGATCCCAGGGCTGGGGCTGGGAGAGAGCGTATAGGACAAGAAATAAGGAAGGGCTCAGAGAATGACAAGACGTGTCCAAAGGACCCAGGCCCGGCTTCAGCTGCTGGACAAAGCTGGGTGGGGTGGCGATGAAGCCACCCGGCCTCTGAGGGCCTGGGCAGCGCATTGGGCAGTCCTGGGAGCCAGATGGTCACCCAACCCTACCTCCAGGCCCACTCCCAGGGTACAACGTGGCCTGGCCCAGGTCCCAGGCTGGGGAGGCAAGGCTGGCTCTTGGACCCCTTCCCCTGCAGGAGACCCCTGCCCTGCCAGCACAGGGGACCTTGAGGGCTGAGGGTGCCGCAGCAGCAGGAATGAGCAGGAGTGAGGGAGGGGCACATGGCCCTGATCCCCCCAGCGGTCCCCCCCGTGGGGTTCCCCCACAGCCTGTCCCTTGGGACTTGCCCCCACCTGTGGACGGTGGGTGGGACACTCCTGCAAGGCCCAGCCTAGAGGAGCTAGCTGCATGCTGAACTGAGAAGAGAGCCTGTGGGGGAGCCCTGCCCTGAGGTCCCACCCCTGCCCACCGGACCCTGTCCCCCAAAGCATCCTGTGCTGCTCTGGAATGTGCACTGTGCTGGCCATGGCCCACCTGGGGCTGCGGCCACACCATGCCGATCACAGGGAGGCTGCCTCGTCCCTGTGCCCTACAGCTCTGTGCCTGGCCCAGGGCCCCAAGGCCAGAGCTCCAGTCCTGACTTGGCTAAAGAGATCACATGAAAAATGCAAGGGATGGGAGGCCATGGAGGCTTCAGTGGGGGAGGGGAGCTGGGGATCCGGCCAGGGCCTGGTCATCACTAGTATCCTCCAAGCCCAGCACACAGCGCTGAGCACAGCACTGTCCCTGCCCACATGAGGGCTTCAGCCAGCGCCATCAAAAGTGGAGTGCCACTGCCCACAGCACCTTCCGGAGGCCCGAGGCTGTGACACTGTTGGTAAGAACAGTAGAAATTCGTGTGTCACAAGCATCAGTGCTAGGGCTTATTTCCCCCTCACAGTACTGAGGCAGGTGGTATCACTGTCCCTGTGTCATACCAGAGCATGCCAAGGCTCAGGGCACCTGGGACCTCCCCATGTCACTGGCTGGTAGGCAGTGGGAGCCCAGGTGAGGCCCAACAACCTGCTGCAGGGCACGGACAGGTGGGCTCTGCTGAGAGGGCACAGGGCAGGGTGAGCTGTGAGGGCCAGACCCCAGTGGCTTGGTGGTCCTCTCCATGCAGGTCCTGCCCTCCAGACACCCACTTTATCTCTGAGGAGCCAGTGACATCCACCTTCCTGTTATCCAGAGGGAGTCCAACCTTCCAACCCCAGACAAGCCCTCTGTGGAAGCCTCTGCCCCACGTCCCCTGCTACCTACCACTCTCCCATGCTCAACCCTCCCCTTTGTCAGCAGGGCATGGTCCATCTCCCCTCTCCTGGGCCCACAGCTCCTCCAGCCATACTTCCTGAACACAGGGTCTGCCCCATGCTGGGCTCCCAGCACAGTCCTTGACCCCCTCAGGTGGCCACAGGCCTCAATCCAGTTCCCAGCTGGGCGTCCAGTGGATGGAGGGGCAGCGGGCTTCTCTCTCTCCTGCCTGAGCCTTTAGAGCATAGTCCAAGACCCTTCCCAGTGGCTGCTGGCCTCTGCAGATCTGGCCCCTGGCCATGCTCACTGTCTGGGCCAGTGACCCAGGCCTGGGGCTGGCCTCCTCCTGCCTGGTGGCCCCCTCACTCTGCCTGTCAGCTGGCCTTCCTGGTGGCGAGCACCAAGTAGAGTCTCATTAAATATTTGTGAATAGCTGGACGAGGCGAGGCACATCCCCCAGGCCCAGCCACTGGCCAGACAGGGAACCCCAGGCTGGGCAGCCCACCTGCACAGCGTTGGCAGGATGGTGCCCACGTGACTGGGGGCACTACCCTAAGGACCCCCCGCTGTGCACTCAGGCCCCAAGAACTGCCCCGCAGCCCCTGCCACAGCCTCCCTGGAGCCCCCTCCGCTCTTTGAACCTGTGGTCTTCCCAGGAGACGGGGGGTCTGGGTTGGCCCTGGGGTTGGGGCCTGGCACAGTGGGGGGGACACTGCATGTACCCTAGGGAGGCAGAGGGGGAGCAGTGGGTGGGGCTGGGTCTCCAATGAAGGAAGAGAAGAAGGGGAGCCCAGGCAGCCACGGGCCTCAGTCTGGTTTCCAGCTGGGCGTCCGGTGAATGGAGGGGCAGCAGGCAGTGAGCAGCGGGCAGTGGGTGCTGTGGGGAAAGGGAGCTCTGCCAGCCCACCACAGAGCTGCTCCCAGAGGGTCTTGGGTGACTCAGGAGGGGCCCCTTCCTGTGACATCATGGTCCTGTGGTGCCTGGCTTGGGAGGCAAGGGTGGACCCGGGACTGTGGCCTGCTTGGCCAGGCACACGCATGCTGAATGAACTGCCCAGCAGCCAGCCGTGCCCACTCCCCAGGCTTGGCCACAGCACAGCCCCACCAGCCCTTGCTGCCCTCATGCCCCTCCTGGGCCCCCTGCCCCCATGAAGACCCAGGTCTGTGCTCTGATCGCCTTGCACCGCTGCACGGCCCTGGGTCCCTCTTGCTTCAAGGCAGGGCCCAGCCGGCTTGTAAATCTGAGCCGCACTTGGTTTCCCGAGCAGGCCCCCTCCCGCCCTCGGTGTCATTTCTGGCAGGCCCTTGAGTGAGCTCAGTCATCACATAAGGCATGAGAGCTATTTCTTGGGGGAGTGAGCTCCCTTACATGGGGCTCCCTTTCCCCTCTCTAACCACAGACCACTGCAAGCCAAGGGAGGCCTGGGCACGAGAGGCGAGACCCCAGTGCTCCCCCTGCCCCAAGGACAATGGTGTCTGCAGAAGAGGAGGGACCGCAGCTCTTTGCAGATATCCCAGGACTCAGTACCGCGGGAGCAGGAGCAGAGACCCAGCCCCGCCTTGCCACAGGCATGAAGGAAGGAAGGGGCTCCCAGGCTGCCCAAGGCAATGCTTGCTGCTGTCCTGGAGACAGCCACCCCCCCTGGATGGGCTTTCCTTGCCTCTTGGATAGATTGGTGCCCCCCCCCACCGCCCTCCATGCTCTAGCCCCATCTGAGCGCACCTGGGTCATCCTCGGGTCCTGAGCCCAGGGACATTTCACCCAGGACCTGTGCTCTCGAGAGAAAGAAGCAAGTAGACCTCACTCTGGTCAGAACAGAGGTCCCCCTTCCCCGTGAAGTTCCTGCTTGGGGGAGAGGAGCCCCCACAGATGCTGGAACAGTATCCTGTGTCCCAGAAGCGGCACCAGCCCAGAGGGCCCCTCCTGGCTGCGGGGCTCCTCCAAGGACTTGACCGTCTAGGGAAAGCAGCCCAGGACCCTCAGATCTCCTGCTCCATTTCTGTGGCCTGGAACTGAGGGGGGACCCATGAAGACACAGAAGACCCACATGGGATGCAGCTGAAGGGACATGCAGACAGTTATATGCACGGTGTTTCTAGGGGCCAAGCGACCGTCCTCCCACTCCAGGATCCCTGCCATGCTGGCTGCCCTGCGGAGCCGCCACAGGCCACAGTGCCAGAGACAGAAGGTACAGGTCAGCACCTGTCTGACCTGGGAAGCCCCATGTTTCCCCCACATCAGAAACTCGTTCCCAAGAGAGGCAATGACAGTGACAGGGGCCCAAGGACCTGGAGGACACAGCTGACGTGGGGTCCGCCTAGGCACCTGCTGCAGCAGCTGTGGACACCCAGCCACCTCAGGTGAGGCTGTCAGAACATCCCAGCCACAGGGCCTAGGGCTGCCACAGGTCACGTGGCTCTAGTCCCCAGCTTGGGCAAGGCATCTCAGCAGGGCCCTGTGCCACACCTTGGTCCTGATGAGGCATCTGGAACTGGCATGAGGCTGTAGCCCCTAAGCCCAGGCCCAGGCCTCCTGCAGTGATCACCAGTCTATGTCTCCACTGGAACCACACTTTACCCAGCTGTTCCCTTAAGGGCAGCCCGAGGTCTGCCCTCAGCCCAAACCAAGAATGGGGATACTCAGGGCTGAAAGGCCACCTGTGACCACAAGGGGGTGGGAGGGTGAGCTACCTGCTCCCTGAGTCCCCCTCCAGGAAAAGAACCCCACCCCCAGTGCATATTTGGCTGTGGACTCAGACATGTGCCAAAATGAACAAGGAGACTTGGCAGTGCCTTGCAGGATGGACAAGGCTGCTTAGAACACTCTGCATCCCTCACTATGGCCGGCAGCTGAGGAGCCCCTTGGAGACAGCACCCCCAGCCCCTGGGCTTGCTGAGACCTGCCGCCTTGCCTGGTAGGATGCTGGGTCGTGCTCCCTAAGCAGGGCTTGCTCCTCCCCATTGCCCTGCAGGGTCTGGGACTAAATAAACCTTAGCCCCACCTCCACCCAGCCTCAGCACTGAAAATAGGCACTGGGGTAGGAGAGCAGGGGGACGGGCAGGGCTGTGGGGGCCTTGTGAGGGGCTGCAGCCCCTGGCGTAGGCCGGGACAAGGCCAAGGTCCCACTCTGTCCTGTCAGCACCCAGGTGGGAAAAGAGGGCACTCAGCAATCCTCCCTAGCTGCCGACTGGCCGATGCCTGTGCTCCAGAAATGATATGGAATAAAGTGGCTTCGCAGCTCACATTCCAGCCCCCCACTTGATTTCAGGTACGAGGCCCCAACTCGCCCCTGTCTGACATTGGCAGCCATGCGTGCAGGTCTGGGCACGAGGCAGGCAGGTGGGCGGCCCATCTCCAGAGCCCCATGCAGACCCAGCCACACACCAGGTGCGCAAAGGGCCTTTCTGGCCAGCCCCGCCCCAGGAGCCCCCTGGCCTAAGGCTGTGTTTCAGGTGTGAAGCGCTGGGAGAGGCCCCTCCAGAGAGGGCCCAGCTGGACAGAGGCCCTGTGAGAGTCTGGTGCCCAGGGCAGGCGGCTGTGCCCCCTGAAGCGAATGTGGCTATAGCAGGAAGGTGGACATGGCTTGTCCAATTAAGCACCTACTCCAACAAGCTCTGTCTGGACAGAAGGCAGGAGGGAGGCTCCAGGGTCCCATGTACTGTGAACGGGAGTGGGAGGGAGGCTGCCCTTTGAGGGTGTGAAGTTCATGGATGAATGGGCTCGCACCCCAAGAGGGAGTTGGGTGGCCGCCCCCCAGCAGCACCCGCAGGCAGCCCCCCTGGACTCTGTGTGCCTCTGTGCTCCTGCCCTTCTACCCAGGGTTTCGTAGGCTGGCTCAGGCTCTTGGTACTGCCCCCGCCCCTGCCTAGCTCTGCCCTCCTGACCCTTAAGTCCCCACTGGTCCCCTCAGAAAGCCCCTGGCCTGAGCTCTGGTCAGCCAGGTGTGTCCTGACCAGGCAGAAGGGTTGTGGCCTGAGTGGCAGTGGGTGCCTGTGGGTGTGAGACCCCACTGCAGGCATGAATGAGGACATGATTTCCACCACCGAGTTTATGGAGTGCCTGCCTACGACAAGCACAAAGAGAAGCAGAGAAGTGTTCCTGTTCTTCAGAGCTTACAGTTTCACGGGAGACAATGAAAACTTACATTTCCACGTGTTCCGTGTTGGGCGGGGTCTGTGCTCTTAAGAGGAATAGACCAGGGTGAGGCAGCTGGGGTGCTGACTGGTGGGTATCTCCCTACAAGGTCCATTTGAGGAAAGTCCCA